TTTTATTGTGCACATACTGGATGCTGGTGATACAAGGTGACCAAGGTAGATGTGGCCATTTGCTCTTCTCAGGCAGCGAAACAATTAAACAGTCAGAGATGGAGTGTCACAGGTGCAATGGGAGCCAGCAGTGTCCCAGGGCAGGGCAGGGTGCAAAGGAAGGGATGTCTTTTCTGTTAGGTAGTTAGGAAAGGACACTGGGGAGGTAATACTTAAGTTGGCATTAATTATTCTTATACTGCGTTATGAGGTCCAAGTGATTCATACTTTTCATTCCTGCCTAGCAGGGTTTTAGGCTTCTTTGCTGTCACATTTTATTGAGCAAAAGCAAACAAACAAGCAACAAGAAAAACGAAAACAAAACCAGTAGATGTTTGTCTGGCTATGGAGTGGCAAATACAACTTAACCATCAGAAACAGAATGGTAAAGCAGGAAATCATAAAACCTCTGCTTATTAAAGTTTTGTTGAAGTTAAAGGTGTCGTGTGATTGTTGTTCTTACCCTTCAGACATGGAGCATAATAACCCTGCCTATACCATCAGTGCTGCGCTCTGCTATGCCACTCAGCTGGTCATCATTTTGTCTCACATACTCGATGTCAATCTTCCCAAAAAGCTGTGCAACAGGCAAGTAATTGAAGGTGGTGGTGTCTTCTGTGCTGTGGATCTGCCAAGGTTTTGTGAGTTCTTAATTCCAATTTAGCCAAAAACAAGAATTTAAGTATCAGAAGTCAGAAATGTCTGAAGAAATATTCAGATTTGCAGCTGCAGAGATAGCTTGGCAGTCCAAGCACCTGCCTGGCAAGTAGAAAGACCCAGGTTTGATCCCTGGTACTGCATGCTGTGCTGTGCTGGCCACTGAAACTAGGCGTGGGGTATGCACCTGTAATCCCAGCATTGAGGAGGCCAAGACAAGAGGATTGCTACAAGTCTGAGCTGTGTAGTGAGACCCTGTACCAAATGAATGAATGAATGAATGATTTAAAAAATTATAAAAATACTCAGATTTGTTTATTTATTTTTAATATATTTGATTGTTTTCCAGCCTCCCCAGTGCTGGGATTATAGGTGTGCACCACCACACTGGGTCTCTGTGGCTGGCTCAGTGTGCCCTGGGGTTGGGGCTGGCATGGCATGTGGTGCCAGGGATGGAACCCCAGTCTTTGCATTTGCCTAAGCAGTTGCTTAGTCTGCCGGGCTATCTCTCTGGCCCTAAGAAGTTTGTTTGTTTGATCGATTGATCGATGATATATTTAGTACAGGATCTCACTACACAGATTGGATTTGTAGTGATCCTCCAGTATTTTCAGCCTCCTAAGTGCTGGGATTATAGGCGTGTTCCACCATGCCCAGTCTCAGTCACATCCAGTCTCAATCACTCAGTGTGCCCCTGGGGTGGGACTGGCACAGCAGGCCCAGGGATCGAACCCCCAACCCCTGAGTCTGCCTAAACAGGCGCTTTAATCCGCTGAGCTATTTGGCCGGCCCAACTATTTGGCCGGCCCTCAACCAGTTCTTGTTATGAGAAACACTCCTACATTTGTTTTGTATCAACTATCTTTTGCATACTTTTTTTTATTTAGAATGTTGTTTTCACCTTTGATGTTTGTTTCTAGTGCAATCTAATAAGTTCTGGTTATTTTTTTTTTACCAATTGGTATTTCATTTGTGAAAAGTAACCTATGATTTTGTGCTACAGTCTGTTAAAAGTTATAAGTATGTTAGATATAATTTTTATATTTTTCCTAAACCCAGTGATGTTTTACAATACAAAATAGACACATTTAGGGCACTAAACATGAATAGGAAGGAAGTGCCAAAAGATCTGCAATAAAAAACACTGAAAAAAAGACACGTTAGCAAATCATTGAGGTAAAGCTTGTATTATGAAATGGAAAAGCAGAAAATTTTACTGCATATTGTTCATAATTCAGAAATAATAGGACTTCAAAGAAGAAACAAAACTAAAAATTGCATTATTCAAAAAATTCAATGATTATAATAATTCTGTGGGTGGTTTTGCCAGAACTGAACAACATCTAGCAAGCTATCTTGTAATCAAATTCAAAGAAAAAAAATTATACAATATTTAAGCACCTTCTGGACCAAACAGTATAGAATTTGTTACTTATTCAAAGCAAGGGGCTTAAAAAGTCATTTACAATTTAGATTAGGTCTCACAGACCAAGTAATTGAAAAATACCGGTGAGCGAGACAGCAGCCAAGATGACCATCACTGGTATAGTCACTGTTTTTTACCTGTAATTTAAGGGAAGGGTCTTCAGTGTGTTCAGGATCTCACTACCAGATCGGACTCGTAGTGATCCGCATGTTTACAGCCTCCCAGGAGCTGGGATGGATTACAGGTGTGCACCACCACACCCAGTCTCAGTCGCCCTCTCAGCTTGCCCCAAGCCAGCATGGCAGGCCCGGGAATTGAACCCCTGGCCCCAGTGCCTGCTTGCAGGTGCTTTAATCCACTGAGCTATTTGGCCAGCCCATCAATGTAGTCACTGTTGCATTTAGTGCATAGATGTTTTATCAAAATTATATCACCCAGAGGAAAAATGGAAACACCAGTATGACAGTGTAAAGTATGTTCAAAGAAAGACAGTAATGCAGAAAGATGTGAGAGAGTAGATACTATTGTCCAGGTTCTATATTAAATTTTCCACCTTTTAAAAATTTTTATTAGTACATGTTTGCAGTTCTTGAAGTTTATAGTCATCTGTAAACTCATTTTGGGGAGTGATTACATGTGTTGAATGTTTAAGATCACCTGTACACAGTCAGGTATGGTGATGTACACCTGTAACCTCAGCACTTGGGAGGCTGAGACAGGAGGGTTGCCATGAGTTCAGAGCTGTTAGACTTAGTGAGTTCACAGCTAGACATAGTGAGACCCTACCTCAAAAAACCAAAAGCCAAAGCAAAACAAATGCCAAACACAGAAAAATTCTTAACAAATTCATCATTTCTATAGTTCCTGTTATATAATAAAAGTGAACAATTTTTGGTTATCCTGTATTTAAATAATTAGGTGGGTAAGTGGTTAAAGATTTGGAAAAGGATCTACCCAGTTCCTGTGAGGACCTTCCTTTCACCCTGTATACATGCCAAGTAGATAAATCCCTTATCTGTCTCCAGGACACACAAGTATAAATACAATGTCCCAAAATATTTCGTACTTGGTTTTTATGCCAGACACTGCCCCCATATGGGGTACATTGGCAACAGATGCACAACCTCTGACCTTTGCAAGTGTGTGTCCTGTCGGGACACAGATGACACCCAGTATGTGCCGTGGTGGTAGATGCTGTAAAGTACACTGAGACAGATGAGGGAGGCCTTGCTGTGCGTGAGTGGGCACGCACGAACCCACAGGAGCAAGGGGTGAGCCATGGGACCTTGAGGAGAGAGGCTGCCGGTGAGGCTGGCAGGGCCCAGGCCCTGGCATGGAGCAGCTGCAGAGGGCAGAGGAGGGGAGGAGGGTACAGCTGTGGGCCTTCGCTGTGTACTGGGCACAGCGGGCAGTTGCACCAGGATACAACCAATTTTCTCACATGCTTCCAAGAATAATGTTTCCAGTTTGTACCTAAGTATTTGTGTAGTGTAAATTCCCGAAGTGTAATGGCTTGGCGAGAAGGCAGGTGCGTTGTAAGCACTTGGGTAAGTGTGAGGGAATTGCTGCTGTCCACGAGGATGACAGTGTCTTCCTAGCAAATGTCTGTGGTGGGCAGTTTCGTAGGTAGGGAGGCAGAGACACAGGGAAGATTGCATATGAACTGTAGTGTAAGGCATACTCTGCAGGTGAACATTTTTAAGAGATTATTTTCTAAAAAAAAATAGCACATTCTCCAAACTTATGTTCATTTTACAGTGAATTTTGTGGAGAAAATCTCAGCAAACAGAAGTTTACTCGAGCAGTGAAGAAACTGAATACAAATATCCTATACCTTTGTTTTTCTCAGGTATGGAAAATGTGTTTGGAACCAATTTCTAATTTGTGACATAGCTGAAAATAGTAATCAATTCTTTGCTTTTTTTAGCATGTAAATTTGGATCAGTTACAACCACTGCACACCCTCAGGAATCTCATGTACCTGGTCAGCTCAAGCTCAGAGCACCTGGGCAGGTAGGACGGGTGTGTGTACTCTTGTGATTTGTGAGTGCAGCAGTTGTGTGTGCTAGCAGAGGACCTACTGCTCCCCGCCCCAACTTCTCCAGCAGTCCTCTGTCTACTGAAGGTAATAATGGCCACTCAAGTCCGAACTGTTAACATTCTTCTATAGTAATTTCTTGGAGAGTATCAAGCACCTAACATGCAGCAGAAGAACCCACAGGTTTCTGGAGTGCGACCTTGTGTAGGTTCCCTGAAAACCAAAGGCCAATTATTTTCTCGAGCCCACATAGGTCTTTTCTTGGCTACCTAGTGTCAGAAGTCAGTAACAAAAAGTCTGGTCTGCAGATCTTTTTAGGCTCAACCCACAATCTGTCCACTTTTTGTGTTTGCTCTTACTGTAAATACCTAGAACAGTTACAAGAACAAAGACTTTTGCAGCACATCTATGCCGCGTACACAGTGGGGTGGCTGGTCATCGCTCAGGAGCGCCGGGTGGGCCAGTTGTATTCGTGTGGGGGAAAAGGTGGGTATGTACCACCTTCCTATACAAATTAAATTCCAGATAATACAGAAACTTTAAAAGGCTAGTGTTCTATAATCATAGGGTGGAGAAAGAATTCCCAAGTAAGCCACAAAGCCCAAAACCCTAAAGATAGGAATTATGAGTTTTATAGTATAAAAACTAAGTATCTCAGCTGGGCGTGGCGGTGCACACCTCTGAGCCCAGCACTCTGGGAGGCTAAGGTAGAAAGATCACAGACACCTAAGTGTTTCTAGGAAAAGTCACCTTTAACAAAATTAAATAGGTTCTGCAGCATTTATAATAGACAAAAGATTAAAACCTAGGTTTCATAAATCTTTCAAATCAATAAAGGAAAGACAGACAATAAAAACAAAGATTCAGAGGAGCACACCGAAAGAGATGGAAGCCATCAGCCTCACTCAAAAATGAGTGATGTTTGAATCAGGTTTCCATTTTCAATAATCGGTTGGAAAAAGAACTGGAATGTTCATTTATACCCAATATGAGTGATTACAGCATTCTCTTAATACCTAAAGTGCATTTCTTTGAAAGATGTAAAGTTTCCAGGTATGGCACATGCCTGTAATCGCAGCATTCCGGAGACTGAGACAGGAAGATCGTCTCGAGTCTGAGGCCAGCCTGGGCTACATAGTGAGACCCTGTTTCAACAAAACAAAACAAAGTTCCTGTTACCGTTTGGTTAGCATGAGGATTACCTGTTGGTTGATTTCAAGGCCTCAGCTGCTCACAAGTACCCAGAGCTGGGCTGTTAGTTACACCTAAGGCTCTGGTCCTCGGGCCAGAGGTCAGGAAGTAGAGCTCTGGAGCATCGCGTTTCCAGGTCCTCAGTCAGAGGGCCTAGAGAGGACAGTGAAGGAACCTGGGCAGGACTGACTTCTGGATTCCAGGTACACCGTCCAAGTTGGACGTCCCATTTTGAATACAAGATAAACTTTTTCTTTAAATAAATTCAAAGTTACAGAAAAATTACAAAAATAAAAATGGCACAGAGATCATCCCTTTAACAAGATTCACTGTTAATGACTTACCCCATTTGCTCATTTTCTCAACCTTTCTATAAATGCACATGTACATGCATATACACAAATTTTCCAGAACTCTGTAAGTTACGTACATTAGGCTTTTTACCCCTAAGCATTTTCGCGTACATTTCCTTAAAGTAAGATATTTGATGCCTGCGTCTCCTTGATGGCCCTCAGCAGACTTAACATGGGTACTTTCTCTCAGTTGCTATCTAGAGTACGTTTGTCAGTGGGGCCAGACTATTTCCTACATAGTGTTTTTCCTCTCTAGTAAAGGATCCAGTCTAGAGTCAGGGATTGCATGTAGTTATTATATGGTTATTTTTAACCTTTTTAAAATTTGGAACATTTTAACAGCCTCCGATTTTCACAGTATGAATATTCTTTTAAAAAATATAAACCCTCCCAAAAGAGCTTTCCTTTGGACTTGTCAGTTTCCTCCAAGTAGTCTTGTGTTCAGGCCTGAAGGGTGCTGCTTGAGAGCTGTCTGTCGCACCCTTTTCTGGAGGCGCAGACCTGAGCTCACCTCGCTGAGGCCTTGGTCCTCAGTCACAGAGCTTGGCGTTCCCCGTGGTTTCTGTGTTTCTGCCTTTGTGCCAAGCCACGTCGGGGAGCCACTCCCAACAGTGTAAGCACCTTCTGTGGGTCTCCCCGAGCACCACTTGTCTGCTGGTGCTTCTTATCTGCTCCGTTGTGTAATGTCATGGTATCCACCTTAAAGCATCGTTCTTTTTTTCATTTTGTGGAACCAGGGATTGAACTCAGGATCTTACACCTGCCAGGCAGGCACTACTCTGCTGAGCTATGTCCCACGTCCCAGCATCATTATTTTCAAATGAGATGTTTTGCAAATTTTTACAAAGCTAAAAAGATTTTGTAGGGGGAGGGGCAAGCTGCATGAGAAAATGAGTATTCTGGCTTCCGGCCCTTCCTTGACTAAAAAGAAATTTTGTATTCAACTAAACCGCAGATTATGGAAATGTCTTTTTTCATCTTTCTCTTCCAAGACATTAAGAGAAAGAACCACCGATCCTCTTGCTGCTTAGTTCTGTGTGATTTTTCCTCTGCCTTGGAGTGTGCTGGGTAGGAAATATTGTTAGGGCGTCAATCTTCAAGTGATGGCAAGGAGGCAAGGCCTTGGGTCCTGCTCCTGTAGCTGCTTGGAATCAAAGTTAATCCACACTGGCTACTTCAGGAATCTTCCATGTGTTCATTTTGCATTCTGAGCACTTAGTGGAGTGCCTGGGCCCTGCCACTTGGAGTCTGTCCTATATGGGAGTTCAAGCAAAGAACCAGACTGGAGGGAGGCACCCTGTAGGAGCTCTGTCTGCAGAAAGAAGAGGATATTTCTTCCCATGTTCATTACTGCTTGTGTCCTGGGAAACCCTTAAGGAGGGCCTGGGGAAAGTGGCAAACCCAGCCTTGTGGGAACCCCTAGAATAAAGAGGCAGCATCCAGGAGCAGCAGCAGGTGGGCTGAGCCTCAGTTGGGAGCCTTGGCCTGGCGCTGAGCACTACAGCCAAGTTGGCCAGTGCAGACACAGCAGCCTTGGGCTGGGATAGAAGGAACCCAGCCCAGAGGCACAGGCATGTGAGTCCCTCAAGGAAAACAAGGCAGCCTCTCACACAAGGTGGGAGATGGTGAGGGTGGGTGCATGTGGAGGGCAGAAAGGAGCTTGTATAGTGACATCAGTTACCCCTGTGAGCCTTGACATGGAGCCTGAGGAGGGGGAAAGAGTCCTAGCTGGCTCTGGTTGTCTGGGGTGAGTCTGAGGTAGCATCTCTTAGATCTAGAGATCCAGTGGGCAGGAATAGGTCCAGTAGGAGAGGAATAGGAAAAGACGACTTTGGAGTAGACCTCGCCAAGGACATAAAAGTAAGCAGGAAAGAAGTCAAGTGTAAGGAGAACTTTAAGGATGTGGAAACAGATTGTGCTCGTTAGTCTTTTTGGTAAAGAAAGTTTCAGGGGATGAAATTGTCCCCTGCCAGTTCTTACATACCTCATCCTGTAAAAAGTAATGACTTCTGTTTAGGTGAAGGCCTTGAAGACTTGTGAATTGCTCACTGAAATCAAGGAGAAAACCCTGGGGTTTAATCCTTGTACAGCCCTGAACACCATGCCTAGAACATACATGCTAGCAGTGACTGCTGTGTCCCAGCTGGGAAATGAAATTGTTTTGGGATCAGAAGATTAGGGACCTGGTGAAGGACACTGGATGCCATTATCAGCCTTTATTGTTCAGGAAGCTACCAGGAGTTTGGGGCCAAAGAATAAAAGATGCCTGGGTATTTTCATCTTCAGGTGTTTCTTTATTCAAAGTCATGGTCAGTGAAACTCTTAGTTGAGCAGAGACCTTACATGCTTCTCTTTGGAGATAAGCATGAAATACTGGCTGCTGCAGGGATTTGGACCTACCTTTCCAGCAGCTCCAGGCAATCCCTGTAGAGGCCCTGGGTCGGGATGGCTGCCTGACCCCCGAAGCAAGAGCTGACAGGCCGTTGAAAGGAAGCAAGGAGAAGAAGCTGAAAGACCTGTGCTGGGGCTGAAGAGCCTGAGGAAGAGCTCTTAGCCATGGCTGTGAGGATGTCTTTTGGGCGGTTTGCAGAATAAAATACGATTTTCTCCTGAAATACAATGCATACAAATACAGTTATAGAGGAATTTAACCTAAGTAGGTGTCTCATTTTGTGCAACAGATGTGCCCCTGGAAAATTAGATGTAAGTGCCAGAGCCTGTTGTTGATAGGAATCTAAGAAGCTTTGATGATTTGCATACAGCGTATCATTTCTGCTTTCTGAACCTGAAGAATTTTCTTTATAAGGGAGAGAGCTTCCATAAAACAGGAAGTATCTGTACAGTTTTCTTTGTGTACAATTTACTGCTTATTACACGATAGAGTACAGCAGAGTATACATCAGATAGCTGATTCTCTCAGGATTGTGTCAGAATGCTGTGTTACTTATTCCTTGGACACTGCACTTGTTTAAAACAGGAGTTCATGCTTTGAATACAAGCATGGGTCTTGTATGTGGATGGATTTTGGTTTTTTACCCCAAAAAACCCATAAGTAGAATTGAGGAAAAGTGTGATATTACTTTTATTCCTGACTCACCTGTCAGTTGTTACTTGGGTAAAGAAAACCTTCACCCTAGAGCACCAGGGCATGCAGTGGAGACTTTGGAAATGGTGTGTGGGAATGGCTGTGGGTCCTTCTGCCCCATGCGGTAGGATCTGAGGGCAGACAGCATCTGACCTCGGGCTGGGGAACACTGCTTTCTCTGTAAGCCGCTTCTCACTTCCTGCACACAGGTCTGGACCTTTTGAAGTGCGAGCAGACCTTGAGGAGTCCATGGAGTTCGTAGACCCTGGAGTTGCTGGAGAATCGGATGAGAGTGGAGATGAGCGCATAAGTGATGAGGAAACTGACTTGGGCACAGACTGGGAGAACCTGCCGAGTCCCCGGTTTTGTGACATCCCCTCGCAGCCCGTGGAAGTCTCCCAGAGCCGGAGCACCCAAGTGTCCCCACCCATCGCGAGCAGCAGTGCCGGGGGGATGATCTCCTCTGCCGCAGCCTCCGTGACCTCCTGGTTCAAAGCTTACACTGGACACCGTTAGTGGACACAGGCCATTACTGTCTCTGTGGTTCCGAGAGCTCTCCCTAGTAAACCTTGTCTGTTTAGTTAAGATAGTGCTCAGAACAAGAAGGATTATTGTTTGGAGCAGGGGGAAAAGAGGTTCATGTGTCAGATGGCTATGATTTTGATCCATGTGCTCATTGTAAGAGAGCAGCAGGTGTGAAGAGGCTTCTGCCCACGCTAGTGCTGGCAGAGGGCCTGTGTGAGGCCAGGGCTGGGCTGTGATGTGTCCCGAGCCCCGCAGACCCCAGTCGGTGTCATTTTAGTGATGCTGAAACAAGTTATAGAGGTTGGATGTATCACCAGGAAGAGATTCTTGGTAACTTGGAAGACAGTAAGTGTTTCTCTACCATCTGTTGTTTTTTTTTTTTTTTTTTTTTTTTTGGTAGAAAACCAGCAGGCAATTTGAAAAATTTTCATTTCCTTGGTTTTTAGAATAAGGAATTGAGCTGTGTTTGGGAGGGGCTAATTTTCTGATGGGAAAGAATAATTTAAAACTTATTTCATTTGTGCTGCTCTGTTGTCACTCATCACCTTCCTGGGTTTCTCCCCAACGCCCACAAACACCAAAGAAGCTAAGGTCTGTATATCTGTAGGACACATACCATGAATGGAAGAAATCCTAACTGCAGTAAAGTCCCAGAGATGTTTATTTTTTTGTATTCTACGAGGAACTAAATTCATTCTTACCTATTTTATTGAATTCCTACCATTCACTGTATGTCTGTCTTGAATGAAATTTATTTTTTATGAGTGAAAATAAGTCATAGAAGCCAGGCATGTTGACATAAGCCTTTGATACCTACACTCAGGAGGCTGAGGCGGCAGGATTGCTGTGAGTTCAAGGCCAGTCTGGGCTATATAGTAAGTTTTACAGAACTGGATAGTGAGATCCCATCTCCAAAAAAAAGGCATATAAATCATTCCTTGAGTAAGCTAATTGCCTGCCTGGGCACAGGTGCCACCTAGGTAGGCAACCTTTGATCATTTCGCAGTGCCCCGTTGCCTGGGGGATATCATAGGTGGAGGTGTTCTCGGGAAGGCTTCCTGCTTGTGTGCCTCCCGAGGCCCTGTTGCTCTGTAGCAGACCTTGCTCAGGAGGCTTCGCAGCCCCTACGGGCTGGTGCTGCTCTGTCCTGGGGAAGGCTCACAAGTGAAGACTTTTCCCCTCGCCAGGAAAGCAGTTGCAGCAGCCATGGCTTGCCATTTTCCTAGTGACAATCTTAAAACAGTAGAGGCACTGTGTGCAAATATGTAGCTTTTTTATTTTTAATAACTGCAAAAATCCTACGTAACAATTGCAAAAGAAATCCTATGAAAAGTTCTTGACAAGCATTAGCACATCTTAGTGTGATTAGTATGTAGTACCTCAGATAAATTATTCAGAGGTTTGCCATGCACTAGCTTCTTTTCTCGTAACTGTTACAGTCAGTAGTTTGCCTCCAAACTTGAGGTGCTACGTAATAGCCTTTTCTATTGGTGTATTGGTGTTTGGTCAAGTTTTGGGTAGATTTGGGAGGAAGGAGTTCCATTTCTAGAGTTCCAGCTTCCTTGGCTCTGAGTTTTCTAAGGGAGGAGACAGGCTGTCTGGGGGGCTTTACAGCCTGTGTTTTTTCAAAGTGCTCAGCCTGGTGATAGTTGGGTTTGTAATCCATAAAGTAAAAATGGTGAAATGAACAAATACCAAATGAATTTAAGGGCCGGCCAGATGGCTCAGCTGAGTAAAGCGCCTGCTTAGGCGCGTACACTGGATGTAATCCCCAGTGTGCAATGCCAGCCCTGCCCCGGGGCACGCCGAGATGGGATTGAGACTGGTGACGTGCGCCTATAATCCCAGCACCTGGGAGGCTGAAAACAGGAGGAACACTAAGAGTCTGATCTGTATAGTGAGACCCTGTAGATCACATTAAAGAAAAAAAGGATGCAATCCAAATTAACTTAGAAACCATGAATGTGAAGTACAGCTAAAGAACAGAGATCACCAACTCATGGCTAAAATAATTCAACAATAACAAGGGTGTGGGAGATTAGGAACCGATAAGGGCATATCTTGTTAATATCAGCTAGAGGCACTTTACATTGGGCTAAGTGATCAAATCCTCTGACGGGTTTGAACACCAGCGTACTGGCATACACTGCTGAGATATTTTCGGTTTCATTATTTTGCACTGGATCTATTCTGTAAATATTTTTAAGTAACACATTTCAACCACTGGTTTTCTACTCTTTGCTGCTCATTAAAATCTCTTATGTAGGTGCCAGAACAATATGTAAACAGCTTTTTAAAAAAATTTAAGATTTTTTTTTTTTTAATGAAAAGCCATAGAACTTGTCATGTTTGCCATTTTAAAGTGATTATTGAAACAAGGTAATAGGAATAAAACCCACAGCCACCAGACAGGCTGCTCTAATCTTACGGGAGACATTCTGTGGTGGGATATAACAAAAGTTTTTCACAGTTAAGGGGGAAAAAGTGTCACATCGGGTATAGGGGACAGGAGGCATGTAAGCGCTCAGGTCTGTCCCGCTGTTCAGAAGAACTTTAGCGCTCCTTGTGTCGCAGGAATTTCCACTTGCTCTGTGACTTCCAAACCAGTTTGAGTCATAAAAATGTTTTTTAACTTTTATTTGTATTACTGCAAATAAACCTTTGAACAGTGCTTTGCTAGTAGTCTTTTTTTAAAGTGCTATTTCTGCTGCTACATTGAGAGCAGCAAGAATAAAAGCTAGCCTTAGTCCTTTACATGAGTTAAACGTTTTTTAGAGATTTTTTGCAGGTAGGAAGAAAAGCCTGTGAATATATTTTTTAAATTATAAATAATGTATTAATGGTAATCATCTGTGTTTCACAAGCTTTGAAACTGGTTGTTTACCAGTTACGTTCTTTCTTCAGAGATAATTTCTCTTTGGGAGCCACAGTATGGCAGCAGAGTCCTGGGCTTCTGGTGCTTATGTGGAATCTGCCCAGACTTTCTTCGAGAGGAGAGGAGGACCAAGTTTGGGTGACTACTAAGCTCCCCTGGATGGATGGTTAGTACGTTTGAAATTCATGTGGAAGGGGTAAGTGACGCGGTGGGGCAGCCAGGCCCAACAAGAAATGGTGAGGAGCTGTTGCCCTATCCCTCTACACCTGCACCTAGAGACTAGCAAGCAGCCCGAAAGACTCAGAAGAGAAAGTCTCCCATAGGGCATGGCTTCGGTCTTTAAGTTACAAGCAGACTAAGGAGCATCCCTCGATCCAGAACTCCCATCATGGCTGATGCCAGAATCTGGCTGAAGCAGATGGTAAGAAGAACTTGCAGTGGTTGGGGCCATTTGAAAGTTGCTTCATGACCGTGTCCGAGGAAATTGAAGCAGCCCTTGTGTAAGCCATCGTGCCATCCAGCTACAAAACACGAGAGCGTCTCTCCCCCAGGCCACGAGTCTGCTGGGACGCTGACAGTGTGCTTGCAGTTATATACTGCCATCAGTGGGGCAGATTTTTTCAGACATGGTAATAGCCATATCAGTGACTTTGTTGTGCCTTCTGTAGGAAGAAAAAGGGCATCCTGAGGAGCATGGGGGAAACTGATGGCAACGTAAGAGCGCCCCTCAGCAGTTCGCAGGAGGCAGCAGAGGCCACGTGGCTGTGGTCCTCTGCAGATCAGGGTCACTGCTCCTTCTCCCCATTTGGAGCTTCAGAAGGCACTTGGCTTTTAGAAAAGTACTTTTCTACCCTTTCTAGCAGGATTTTTAAATGTATATAAACAAGGGACTGAACCCAGGACTTTCACGCTTAACTACTCCTGGCCTTTTTAGGGGGAACAGGATCTCGAATCACTAAACTGCTGACCTGCGTCTGCTTCCCACCCTGCTTATGTACCCCTGTGCTTGGCATCTAGCAGCTTATTTCCTAAGTTTAAAAATAATTACAAGGAAGATAGTCGTGCAGGTATGCCACTCACCATCTGTATCTTGGGGCCAGGGAGATGGCTCAGTAGAATAAGTGCTTGCCTGGCAAGTGCAAGGGCCTGAGTTCAATCCCCGGTTCCACCAAAAAAAAAAAAAAAAAATCTGTATCTCAACGCTGTTTACAAAGCATATGATCAACAGTCTCCTTCCCAGTGCGTGCGTGTGAGTGTGAGTGTGAGTGTGAGTGTGTGTGTGTGTGTGTGTGTGTGTGTAGGGGTGCTCTATCCAGTGTCTTCAGAGCAAATAGCTGTTTTCACGTTAGGGGCCCCTACTCCTGGCGTAAGGGCATTTTGCTCTCCACTAGATTTTTTTTAAAAACCCCTGCTGAGAGCTGCTGCATGCTTACCATGCTAACGGGCCTCCCCTGGGAGCTTATTAGACACAGAGGATCTTTGAGGCCATCACAGATTCACTAATGCCAAATCTTTCTTTCCGCAATTCATTTGTGCATTTACCTTTAAATACTGAGAGCCACATTGTCAAGTGGAAATAATGTAACCTGCATGTGTGATGTTGAATTTTCTGGTACTTTTGTTAAAAAGGTAATAAACAGGCAAAATTACAATTATTGTATTAAACATTTTTGTTGAACAGAGGCTGATGTGTATTTTTTACAGCACATCTTACAGTAGACTAGATGGTTGTCTACAGCTTCGGTCCACAGCCAGTGGCACTGCCTACGAGGCCTAGGACCTCCTGGGGAGCATAAAGTTTGGGAACCAGCTTCCCACCTTCCCAGGCCTAGAGGAGGAGGAGGGTGTGCATTGTCTCCTGGGGAACTGGAGAGAAGCTCGGGGAAGGCTCATCGTGATACAGAAGTGACTACACCTCTGCTTGACATTTCCCACAGGCTTTCGGGGTGAACGCTCCCGTCTCTGGAGGTGCATTTCCTGACCTGCTTCCCGTTGCACAGCATCAGCGGGTGAAGCCTGTGTCATGTAGGGCCCATGAGTTTTCATGGTCAGGTTCTGGCTCTGGCTCCTTTAGTCTGTTTCCTGTCCCAGTGACTGTCCTCCTTGGGACATAGGCCTCCTCAGCCCCACTGTTGCATTTGCCCCGTGGTTCTGTCACACAGTGATTCTTAATCCTGCCTGCACCTTGGAATCCTGTGTGACTTAACACCTCTGGGGCAAGCCCTCCGCGTGTTCTGGCACTGGGCCTGGTTTATCTCGGGAGCTGCACCCTTAGATTGAGCCCCTTGACTTTGATCATTAATGTCCCACACAGACCTTGCTCAGAGGATAGACGTTCTTGGGCGTGAAGCCAAGACTGCAGGCGAGGTCATAGGAGAGGTCGCAGCTCCTGGCAGGACAGATAAGCCACTGGCCACCTGGGAGTATGGGCTTTGGTGGAGGAATCCACAGAGAACACATGGCTTGCACAGACCCGGCCGCTCTGTCCCACAATAGGGGAGGCCGGGTGACTTGGTATAGCTCTGTCTCCAGCAGTCTGTGCTGTCACATATAGATGTCACACCACCTAACTTCACAGAGAGAAGGGCAGGTGCAGGAAAACACCTTCCCATTTTATTGATCATGTGACCTTTATCAACCTCTTCCTGCTAATTCTTAGACACTGGAGACTTCCCTACCAGCTCATAAATCCACTTGTTTCCTGTTTTAAATGGGGTTGAGGGCAGTGATTCTGCCAACCTGCATAGCTTATCACGTGGCTGCTGTTCTCCATGCCACTGTGCACTATGTATGTCTATCTGCTGCTGAGTGTCATTTCAGCTGTATGTCATTTTTCCCAAATAGTAATTTGAGAATCTAATCCTGTTTTATCACACCTATTTTTCATTTGTTTCACTTACTTTATTTTCATGTATTTGGTATAGGATCTCACTACACAGCTTGGATTTGGGTTAAATGATTCTCCTGTTTCAGCCTCCCCAGAGCTGAAATTACAGGCATGTGTTAGCACATGGTAGCCAGCTCAGCAAGCCAGGGGTGGGGCCAGCATGGCATGTGGTACCAGGGATTGAACCTGGGTCCCTGAGCTTGCCTATGCAAGTGCTTAGACTACTAAGCTATCTCTGCAGCCCGTTTCACTTAAGGCCAAAGTTAAATCAAAATAATTTCAGGTGAGGTCTATTCTGTATTAAGAGTGGATAAGGGGAGGGACGAGGGAGGCTCCACCTTTTTTAAATGGTAAAGACCATCCCTTAGAGGTTGTAGCCTTCCAGTTCTTCCTCCCTTTTCAGCTCTCAACTCTAGTGTCTTTGTACCCCTCATATAACACAAGGGCAGATCATGTTGGATGGGCGTGTTGCTTTACTGCTTTTGCTTAACCAGTGTGGTATAAAGTGAGTGTCACCCAAGGACATATGGCCACAATATTTGCTCTTCCCATGAGTTTATGTAAATACCAGCTATGTCTACAACCTTAAAAATGACATGCCTGTCTGGACGGGGCTGCACATTGCCCACACAGGTGTTTTCACTAACCTGCAAGAGACTGTAACACTAGTTTACTTGGACCCAAAGGAAAAGCAGCTGCAACTGTCAGACTCTCCAAGGGCCTGGCAACGCGTGGTACAGGACTTATTTACACACAGCACTGATACACACAGCCAGGTAGCACCAACAGTTCTCAGTGAGTGGTCTGTGTACCAGCGAGGGAAAGATGTGGTGCAGACTGGCTTTATGATGTTGGCGAAGCCAGATGTGGGTGAGGAAGACAAGTAGCCAAGATACTGAGTGAAGAAGAAATGGCAACAGTTAAGCCTTGAAAAATGCCTGGGAATGTGCACAGCAGAGCTGTCCAAGGCCAGTCTGAAAAAGCTGGCAAGGAGGCCTTGCTGGGCTAGAGGTGGTGGCTGGGCAAAACCCAGAAGGGAATCCTTATGTCACTGGTGGCGAAACTATAGCAGTTTTGAAGACAAAAAACAAAAGATGTTAATGTAGGCTTTTTTTTTTTTTTTTCCCTAAAACATCAGTACACAGGTTTAACGCAGCATGGGCACTTGGTGATAAATAAGTGGGTTTTGGATTGTGATTTGGTTACTCATCTCTAAAAGATTTGCTATCATTCTTCAAGATGTCATAATCATTCCTGCTGCTAGGTGCTGCTGGCAACGACAGTCTCAATTATACCAAATATATGAGTTACAGAGCACCCTCCTGCTTTGCAGCCAGCTACTAAAAGAACATCCCAGTTGGGTATGGGGGCACATAGCTGTAACCGCAGCACTCAGGAGGCTGAGGCAGAATAACCATTAGTTTGAGGCCAACCGGAACTGCCTGAGACATTAATAAACAAATTCCCTAGGCAAGAATCCTACAGAACTAGCAGTGGCCAAAAGAAATTACCTTCCAAGATCCCTGGATTACAGTATGGCCAGGGAAGTCCAGAGGTTTTGTCAGCACTCTTCACATCTAGATGGGCACTGGTAAGGGCACCTGCATTTAGGACACGTGCCAAGTGAGGCCCCAAGGGTATGGCGGGGAGAACCCACGTAAGGATGCAGAGGGGCAGTGCTGAGTTCCTGTGCATGACCTGACGAGACGGCCTCGCACAGTGAGCGGAGGGCTGGGGCTGGTTCTCCACAGGAGGCATGCCCGACAGTCATCTTGACAGGACCTGAAAAAGCGCATTTCATCGTTTAGTTTTAACTCACCCTCTAGTCCCTTTCCAGGGCACTTCCTTCCATTTGTCCAGCCTTTTGTTTTCTTGGGACAGGTCTTGCTATGTAAATTCAGGCTGGCCTGGAACCCATGGCAATCCTCCTGCCTCAGCCTTCCCAGTACTGGGATTGCAGCTGTATGTCACCACATCTGGTTTGTCTTTGGTCTTACCTGCTAGGCAGAGATGAGAATGGGAGCTGACTCCTGGTTTTTCTTTCAAATGATAAGTGAGGAGAGAATGCACTGGGTCACTCTATCATCACACCAAAGGGGAAAGGTTTTCTTTCTTTGGTACAGCTGGGAGAGGACAGGAACTTTGGACCCCACTGTTTCCTGTTCTTAAATCTCTGATGGCAAGAAATAAGGTTGTTTTCATCACTTTGCTGCAGGGAGCCTCCAAAGAAGTAGGGGGCCAGTTACATTTGACTAAAAATAAAGACACATCTATAGTTCTAGCATTCGGGAGGCTGAGGCAGGACAGATGGGAGTTCAAAACCAGTCTAAACTACACAGTGAGACTGAAAACACACACACACACACACACACACAGCTGTAGACAAGCCAGTGGATGTCCTTTGATGTCAAACCATTAAAAGCTTCTGTCATGCATGCAGACTGCACTGGGAACCAAGTTCTGCCACAGTTCAAAACAGGTCACTCATAATTTCTGACAGCCCCAAGTACTGCATGCTAAGAGAGGCTAGGCATTTTTACCATGCCCTCTGCCCTTGGTCAGTGCAGACACATACACACACACACACACACACACACACACGAACGTGGCACTTTACACACCTGGCTGAGCTCTAAGTCCTTTATGTATATAATCCTTTAATCTCAAATGGTATGGATCACAAAACACTAGGCACCACGTGACTGCCAATTTAGAGCTAACCAAAGGAGTTAAGACCAGCACCGTCAGGTGGGGAACGTAGTGTCGCCGCATAAGCGCCTGCCTGGCAAGCACAAGGTACCGAATTTGATCCCCGATACCACAAAACCACCCAACACTGTCCACTTGGGTACCGGGCATTCCCATCCATCTCAGCTGGGTCACCAGGAAAACCACAGCTCTCCTGAAGGCAAAGCAAGCTGTTTTCACCCTTCTCACTGTTGTTGTAGATTCCACGGGCCAGCAGGCCAGTCAACCATAGTGTGCCTGTCTGGAGAAGATTTACTGGGCCTCGAGACAGTCACTGTTCTCAGCTTTAGCATCCTCCCTTTTGTGGTGCTGGGAATGAACCCAGGGCCTTGCACACGCTAAGACTTCTGAACTTCGATTCTGAGGCAGGGACTTGCTAAATGTCTATTAGAGTGGCCTTGAACTTGTTATCCTTCTTCAGGCTCCCGACTACGTGGGATTAGAAGTACACACTACTCTGCCCAGCTACTGCACCTTTTGAAGCAGGTGCTAGGGACAAAAGAAGAAAAAGTCAGAATAGATTCCAGTTTGGAAACCATTTTGCACTCCCTCTTGCCTTCGCCACAAGTATGCCTGGCGCCACCGCCATCTGGCGCTGCCCTGCCCCAGCCTGTTTGGCAGTCCTGCCAACTTCAGTCCTTCTCCTCCAGGACCACTGCGGCCCTCATTCAGCCTTCCGTTAGAACATCTACCATCTGGTTGCACAGCCTCCGGCCCACACTGCTGGCAAGGTTTCTGTTTTCGGTCCAGGATAGCTTCCCAGGGCTCAGCCCCACCACACATGACACAACCCTATCTGTGAGAGATCTTTAATGACTTCAGAGTGATTAAGACTTGACAACTTGTAAGAAAAAGATACTACCTACGAGTAAATATGGTAAGCAGTAAGGAGAAACACAAATCCAGATATTGAAAAATTACAGAATATAATGTCCTATGATAGAAAAACACATTTTATCCTCTCCTCCCCTGAGAACTTAAAAAAAAAGAAATCCCCTTACAACTCAATTCACAAGTGTTAAACCCAAGGAAAAAAATCTTTTGAAAACTTAGGTCCCATTTATGATGTTTTTATTGAAGTTTGGAAAAAAAAAATCTGTAACCAGACAGAAAGGAAAAACAGACAAGACATTATACTCTAACTATACAATAGTCTCTCATTCTTGGTGGATCACTAAAATATAAGGGAGGATGATTTGCTAGACTAATTTTAAGGTTGTCCAGTTAAGCCATTATTTGGTATCCTTTGAACAGGTTAACCTCTTACCTATTTAGTTTCTTCCAGAAACATTCATATATTATACAGAAAACATTCATAGTTTATTTGAAAACATTCATATTTTATACAAGATGTACAAATTCTAAGATAATTAAACAATTATAGTTGCAACACTATCCTAGTTTTTATTTATGTTCTCCATCATATACAACTGGATTTTAACTGTGTTATATACAGAGGGGCCAAAGCACTCATTAAAAGTAAAGGTGCTCAGGTCTAATGTGCATTTCCACAGCCCTATGAAAACACAACCATTATGTACACTGTAAACACCACAGGGCATGAAATCCATCTCCACCCACAAACACCAATCTCACATCAAGCATACAAGGTCTAAGGCGAGGTACCAGACTTCCTTTTAGGTATATTTTTCATCCAGGAGCCTTGCAGTTCTTGTCACAGGGCACTATTTCCTCATGTTAAATGGTGCCAGTGCGAGAAATATTCCTGGAAACCCTGCCTGGGGACTTCCAGAGAGCCTGCAATGAACTCCTCTGAAAGTCCGATAGTGCCAAGTCTTCTTCCTTCGAGGACAGAGAAAAACAGGCCTAGTTACACCTGGGGTGAAGTGTGAGGGCTCCCTGTAAAGTCACAAGACCAGTCTTTTTGTACAGCTGGTAAAGGAAGAATTACAAAAATGTCCAAGCAATGGCAGTCCTGATAGAACAGGTGCAGGCCTCGTGACTGAGAGGGAACACAAGTGTACCTAGGCATTCTGTGGTTGTCTCTCACCTGGCCTTTAGGATTCCTCTTCAGTTTCACCCCCTCTTGCTTTCTTATGCACTGCCCGGTTAAAACTGTGGCAGGCAGGGACCCAGTGATTGTCATGAAGCCCCAGCTTGCAGCCAGGAAAACCCTTCTGAGGCCGGTGGCAGCACATCCAGTACCCAGGCCCATAGGGCAATGCTTGGCAATAGGGCTTGGGATGCCACCGACATAGGGACACATCCCCTTTCACATATTTTTTCTTGCATTGCTTGCAAGGATCCTCTTTATAGCGTGGGTCTCGAACCCAGCGTGAATCTGCTGGCCTGATGTTGTAGTATTCAATGATAAACTTGAAATAGCAGCAGGTACATTTAAGAGCCACTAAACTCCTGGTAGGAAGTAACCTGAAAATTTTCACCATAATGTGGTGGGGCAGACATGCCATGTACTGCTGAGGCTCCAGAAGCTGTTGGATTTTAAACCTGGTCTCTAAAAAGTCATGAGACACCTGCTTCTTCCAAGTGGCTGCTTCCAGAGCCGGCAATGTGCTTTCCACTGCAGAAGCTGGTGGTGCGCGTGGCTTGGCAAAAACACCCCTCTCCTCAGCACCATCCTCCTCAGCAGTGCCTTCAAGCTGGCTGGCTTCTGAGTCCTCTGGTTCTGTGCTCTCATTCAGCTGAGGACAGTCTGACCGATACTGACCAGGTGGCAGGAAAAACAACATCCCTGGGAGTGGATCTTCGTGGGAGTTTAAGGTAGAAGACTGGTCTTCCTCTGCCTTGGACACAGTAACACTAATGCACAAAGATTCGATTTTTCTCTGAACAGGCTTTTGATTAGTGAGTGGCACAAGCTCTGTACTCACACAAACAATAGTGTCTGAGGGTAATTCAGTGGCTTGGGGACAGATGTGAGAAGAAAAAGATAATCCATGAAGTTCATCTGCCATTTTCACATCATGCCTGCTGCTGGTTTTCATGGCAGTTTTCTGACCTCGCTCTAATTCTACACTGCCTGTGCAGAAATTGACACTTGCTTGGAGTGAGAGACAATCATGAGGGGCACTGTCCCAGGCCCAATCCCCTGTAGAACAATGGTCGATTCTTGCAGGGCCACAATCCTCAGAGACAGACTGCACAGGACCCACCTGAGTGTCAGGTGCCTCCAGTTCATCTTTTTTTGTTTTGCTTTCATCTGCCTGACTGCTATTTGCAAGCAAAACTCTGCCTACATTTCGCCGGAAGCTGTTATTTCGTGACAGGCTTCCAGGTTCGCGCTGGCTTTGCCTCTTCAGGCATTCAGACTCCAGCCTGGCTACCATGTCAAGGACACGCACTGGTTCACCCTGTGGTTCTCCAACCTCAGGATTTTTCCTTTCCGGGGGTTCGTCACAAGCTCCCAGGTCAGAGAAGGGCTCAGGGGCTGGGGGCATCCCTTTGGAATGACCAGAAAACCTCCCAATGGCAGGTGAGTTTATGCAGTTTTTTGCACAGCTAGCTAGCAGAGCACTGGCTCTTTGTTCGAGGAAGGCAACCATCTGTATAACTGACAGATGTCTCCCAGTGTAGACTCCATCCCCACTGTCATTCATGTAATGCACGGAACAGTGCTCGGTGGTACAGGCAAATGGCTCAGACTGGTCGCATCTGTTGTTGACCTCCCTCAAATTCTCTAACTGTATTTTACCCTTTCCAAGATCCCCTGATTTTTTCCTTCTTTTAATAGCTCTTCCATCAATATCCCAGGTGCTTTTTATTTTCATAGCTCCTACCCTATTGCTACACTGGTGGGCTGCAAAGAATGCAATTTTCTCCTTGGTGTTTCCAGGCTTTACAACGGCCCAGATATCAAGTGGGCCTTCTCCTTCACCCTGGTGGATTGTTGCAGCTGAGACATTCTTTCTGGCTTTAACATTCCAGCTGCCCTCTATAGGACTCTTCCCACTCATAGTGCACAGAACATTTGGAGAAGGGACCCCAAAAGGTTTTCAAGATGATGCTTTGATGAGAAAGGATGAAGGAAAGAGACCCGGTTTCATACAACTAGCTTTTCCTTTTTCATCATTTACAGCCCTTTGGGGGCTCTTGGGAGTTCTTAGTATTCTTGTGATTTCCACAGGGCGCTCTTTCCACTGAAGCATCCAATAGGGGCCCTACAGAACAGAAATACATAATGCTGAGAAATTCTTTTAGGAAAGTTTTAATCCTTTATGTTCATATAGCTTTAGCAAGTAAAAGAAACATTTTCTGCCAGTTTACTAAATCTTGATACTCTCATTCCAGCTAATTACTAACAAGTATTAAAGCAAAACAACCACTTTGAATGGTATACTGGCCAAGAAAGAAATTTTGCCTGGTGATTTTCAGAAATCAATATTGGTTAATAGTCCATACATAAAATTAATTCTTTAAAAGAAATTGAATTTACTGCAAAGGTTTGCTGTGTTAGGCACAGTATGGAAGAAAGAAAATATGAAAGATGTAACTTCACGATACCTGGCAGTGAAGATACACTAGACAGAGTGTCTTTCTGGCTTGTCACAAGGAGCATGTCAAAATTATCACACAGGTTTCCTTCCTACAAACTATTCTTATACTGTTGACTAGCTGCTATCCGCAACTTTTCACTTGGTTATACATTGTCTATTAGTCTTGGCTTTGTAAATAATCTTACTTATATAAACACTTAACTGTCAAATTTCCTGCAAATACCATAAATTAAACACAATTATCTTTCTTAATTCTAAAAAAACCCTTGAACCTGTTCAGAAAAACAGTGCCTTGTTTTCTTTCCTGGACAGTGTGGAGATGGGTGCCATTTTGGAACAGAAACAGAAAGATGGTTACATAACAGAAACCTGTGCTCTAGTCCCTGCCCACCACTGATTAAGTACGTAGAGAAATAACCTCGGGCAAGTCACTTCCTCCCTAGGTCCGAACTGAAACATTAATGGAGAGGTTGAAATACAGGCCCTAATGGTCACGTTAAGAGCACTGTTACACAAACATTTGAGATTGAAGAAACGGTGTTTCTAGGGATACCTGGTCTCTTGCCAAATAGACCCACTGGAAAAATAAGTCCACACCAGGCTGCTGGCAGTGCAGCAAGCCTGCGTGCAGCACGTTTTTCCACTGTGGCTCACTGGGGCCACAGTCCGAGGCACACACCTTGGGTGGCTGGGTGCCTTCCATGCCATTTGCTCCACAACTTGCACCGAATGCCTGGAGCACGGCAGCCTCGACGCAACTGCCTTCAGACACCAGTGCTAACTGTCAGGTATGACAGCGGCCGTCTGGTTCTGTGACAGAAAGTGCCCCCTCGCCCCATATACTTGTTGCTCAGCTGCCCAGGTGACTGTGCTCCAGATGTGGTTGCTCCTGTTTCTTCAAAACGGCCGGTCACTGTAATGCACACTGTACGAGCCAAGCCCCAGCGGACACTGTGCTTATCTGTAACTCTTGCTTGCTTGTCTCACAGAAGCCCTAGACCACCAAAGACCAGATCCTGACGTCCGGGAATGAGCCTTATCAGTGCTCCTCCAGGTAAGTCCATCTGCCTCCAACTGCTGGGTGTCGGCTCGGCGCTTCGGCTTACTACAGCACTTCAAGTTTACCTTTCAGTTAACTTAATTCTAGGGTGCTGTCTTAGCTAAGGGGAGAGATATAATATAGCTTTTTTTTTTTTTTTTAGCCAGATAAAGGAAATCTACATTTAAGGTACACATACACTATGCAGCTCAGTGGCCTCAGACTCGCAATCCTCCTTGCCTCAGCCTCCCAAATACTGGGGTCACAGGTTTATGCTATTGTACCCAAACTGTGTCCCTTTTCAGAGATAATCCTACACTACTGTGCTCTCCCTTGTATGGTCACTGCCCTCAAACTGTAGGTGTACTTTACTTCTTACGTGTACTTGGCCCAAACTTGCTCTGTACAGCCTGTTTCTTTTCTTACCTTCAACAAAACTTTGCTGTGAAAAAAAATAAAACAAAACAAAACCAAAAACCCCCACTAAAGCCAGGCATCGCTGCACAGCCCTACAATCCCAGCACTCAAGAGGCTAAAATAGGAGGATCGTGTGTTTGCGGCAAGCCTTTGGGGTATATAGTGAGACCTTGTCTCAAAAGAAAAAGAAAAAGATACTTCTGAGATAGATCTTACCAGTCTTTCGGTCTTCAGCAGTTTAGATCCTAACCATCTGTAGAGATTTCTTCTTTTGTACTGCAGCGCTTTGGATTTTCTGATTTCTCATAACCCTTATAAATGAAAGAAATAGAGGCTGAAAAAAAATAAATTCTCACATAATGATCTAATCAGTGTCCATGAATTAATTTAAACTCTAGAAATAAGTGTGCTGATTTGCACTGCACAGTATGTTCTCTTTGCTTCCTCCTCCACACGTTATTTTAATGCTATTACTGACAAGGACATTAAGAAACTCACTAAGTAGAGAAGGCTTTCATTTGCATTTAACCTACAGTCAGCTCCGTGGAAACCTATGTTCAAGATAATAACAGAATAGGGTCCCAGGGAGGAGAAGGTCCAGGGAAGGGGAAAAGCCAGGGGAATGCTGGGAAGTGGTGGCGATGCCATGGGCTTCTGAAGGAGGCTGAGCTCAGCTTGTGACCCCTGCTGGCTGAAGGCTGTCTGTGGTTAACCTCTCCCCCTAACTTGCTGGGCTTGAAGGCCCTGAGTCAGAAAACAGGTATTGGCAAGGCTTTGAGAAACTCTGAATTTTATTTGAAATCAGTGGGAGGCTTTATGCCAGGTGCCAGAGGCATGTGTCGCAAAAATCCATAGAATAACATCTTAAATCCCCAACAGATTAGACCAGATGGTGACACTCTTCCCACCCCCAACACAGGCACAGCAAAGTTCCAGCTGGGTTTCCATGGATGCTAATGTCTTCATCAAATTGTATTTTTAAAGTTTGCTATAACAAAGTTCCAATCTCTTACAATTAAATAAAATCTAGGCTTTATAGAACCTACTTATTAGTGTTCTTTAGACTCAAAGAGGGCTTGGACCCATAATGGAATCAGAATTTCTGGGGCTGGATCCAGAATCTGTCCCAACTTTAAGTTGAAGTGGAAAGGACTACATCAGGTGTTAGGTCCAGGCTGAGGATTTCGTGGAGTTCTGCATTTGGGTTAGGGTACACTGGCCAGCAAGCAGCTCAGCAGACAGTCTATGCTAAAACATCTATTCGAAGAGTTGGGTAAAGGAGGACTCACTTTCTTATTACTCTCTTTAAAGCACAGTTAAGTGGGCACCTTTGCCGCCAAAGCCCACATTCCTTCTAAGTCCCCTTCCACACAGCCTCTCCAGCTCTTCCCTCTTCTTAGTCCTCCAGCATCGGTGCGACTCGGCTCCTCCTCTAGACCACAGCTCCTAGAAGCTCTATGTCAAAGTCCTCTTCTCCAGCTTCAGTGCAGTCTCACATGTGCAGCAGCACACGCCTACTAACATCATATCCTGCTGTTTGACCCACACACTCGCCTGTAGGTCAGCAATCTCAGACTCCCAGTGCTAGCTGATGGCAGCCTCAGGTACTATCTAGTGCAGTGATGATGAATCCTGCAGAGACCAAGTGACAAACTGCAACCCCAAACCCACTTGTTTAGCGTGAAGTGCCAACACTGCAATTAAACCTGAATGCTGGGGTTTTAGTTTAGAAAGAACTACTCGACATTAACATCTTTGTCTTCATAGAAAATCAGTAGTAAGTGCGATGCAGGCTTGCCACCACCACTATGCAACAACCCAAGAAAGAGTGAGCACAGGTGCTGTAGCCAGGTGGTGCAGGCTCTGATAATGCGGGGAGCAAAGAAAGACGCCAATGGGTGCTTGTTAGGGTCTGTGTCTGGATGGCCCCCTAAAGCTTCGGGCTGTCGTGGGGCAGGCTCTTCAGAGGGGGCTGCATCTTGAATGGTACGCAGTTCACTATCTAGTGCTGGGATGGGAGCATGAGAGGTCCACCCGCCCAGAGTGGGTGGTGGCCCACATCCAGTGCGGGAAAGGGAGGGAAAGAGGCTTGCTTCTCTTCCTGGCTCGTGCTGCTTCAGCAGCCAAGAACTGGTGCCCCAGTGCCACACCTCCTTACCTTGGAGACAGCGGATTATGTACCAAAACTTCTACAAACTAATGAAACCTGAGCTAAGAAAACCTTTCCCCCTTTAAAACCTTGGGTATAAGGTATTTTGTCCCAGCAGTGAGAGAAAACTAAGAAAGTACCTGCTGGAGCAGTTTTCACAGTGCTCAAGGGGAGAAAGTCTCTGCAGAGCCATCATGTGGCCAGGTGGGTCACGACAGCCCTCAAGAGGCTGAGGCAGGAGGATCATTGCAAGTTTTAGGCCGACCTAGGCCACACAATGAGCTCAAGGCAAGCCTAAACAGCACAGCAAGACCCTGTCTCATAAAACAAACCAAACAACAAAATAAAATATAGCCATCACTTCAAATGTGTTGCAAGAATACGGTGAGATCAACAATAAATCAATTAAAACTCTAACCTCATTCCAGTAACGGCAGATGTTTTCTGTTTATTTATTTATTATTTTTAAAAATGTATTTAAGGGCCGGGGAGATAGCTCAGTAGGATAAGCACTTGCCTGGCAAGCGCAGGGTCCTGAGTTCAATCCCCAGCACTGCAAAAAAAAAAAAAAAAAAAAAAAAAGTGGGTCTCTTTTAGGGGTCAGGAGATGGCTCAGTAGAATAAGTGCTTGCCTGGCAAGCACAAGGGCTTGAGTTCAATCCCTGGTTCCGCAAAAAAAAAAAAAAAAAGTATTTGGCACAGGGTCTCATTATGCAGCTCAGACGCACAGTGCTCCTCCTATTTTCAGCCTTCCCAGCACTGGGATTAGAGGTGACTGCCACCACCCTCGGTCTCAGTGGCCGGCTCAGTGCACCTGAGGGTGAGGCTGGGTATTGGACCACAGTCCCTGTGCTTGCCTAAGCAGGTACTTAGTCCACTGCGCTATCTCGCTGGCCTGACAGATGTTGTTTTTGATAATACTAGTCTTTCTTCCAAATGCCAAAGACTGATTTCAATTCAAAAAAAGTGAGATAATGCTCATCTGATGATAGTGTATATTCCCAAATGAAACCACAGAGGAAAACTAAACTTTGAGTTTAAAAAAAGAAA